CCTCCCCCCCCAATTCCCTCCCACAAATCCTTTTCATTATTCCCTTCATAAGAGAACATGTAGCGTTATTCAATTGTTTTCCCGTTTCCCTTGTAACCACGATCACTACAGAAAGTTTCAAGTAAGAATTTGGACCCCCAAAACCTCTAATAATTTGGAGTCCAGGACACATCGATTCTGACAATTCATGTTTAAGGATTATATTATATATCTTATTCTATCTTATTATATAATAAGCGTATAGGAACAAGGTTTATCATTTTTTTCGTCACTAGGCCGGGCAATAAGAGTTCTCGGTCGAAAGTTTTCCGGAGCTTTATCACAATACTGTCTCTTCCTACAAAGTAAGATTGAGAAAGTAAAAACCAACAAAACTTGTTCCGTTTCAGAAGACTACAAATCGTGAATCTTCGTTTAAATCCGGAAATCAGTGTCCCATTGAATTAGATACATTTCTCTATACTAAGAATATTACATCATATACAAGACGTCAAAAGATTATATACGACGTATATAAAACGTAGATACAATGAACATCATGTATACGTAAGTACGTATACAATAAAGTTAAAAAATTGCCAATGTACCTTTTAAGGAGGTCTTACGTTCTCCCGACAAGACAAATCAAATAATAAACTCTCTTGAAACAAAGATTAGCGTAATCTTTTACGTCGCCGTTTCCGTCATATATTGAGTTGTCCGTAGAATTCGAACTTTGTGGTATTGTGTGTCTTGGGAAACAGCGATCTTCTAAAAACCAATATTAATTGAAAACACCATTATTCGAAAATCACCATTTTGGGTTTGTTATCATTACCCCTGAAATCGTTTATTCTGTATGGCGGCCATTGGTGAAAGGATATGAAGTAGCGGCTGCCGTTCAGTTTGCACTGCTCTGTATATCTAAGGATTCTCGATTTTTTATTACTGACAACGACATCTGGTGGAGAAAGTGAGAGTCACATTCAGGCGCTGCGAGGGAGATGCCTTCGGGGAGCGCTTGCTCGGTTGATTGATTAGTGACTCCGGGCGCATCAACTGTTAAGGTCCCATAAGATTAGTGCATGCGTTTTCCTCAGGAGGTGGCGGTGATTTACACCCAGCTGCGTAGTGAGATCTGGTGCCGGCCTACCGTCGGTTAACGGGGTATTCCCTAACCAGGTATCTCCCACGAGCGAGGAACCGCTCCAGCCGGGACAGGGTCTAAGCTCCCAATACGCCTCCCGGCATGTGTAGTAGTGTAGTGCATGTGAGTGTGTATGTAAGATAGGAATGAAGAAAGGAAGAGGTAGAGGAAGGTATGATCGCGCGCGATCTGTGGCCCGTTGATTAGGGTACTTCTCCGGCACTCGCCTGGTGTTAATTGGATATTCAACGGAAAACTACCGATCGGAGCAGCCGGCCGCTAGAATTCTCCTCCATCTCTGCAGTGACAGCGGTGCAGGCACTGCAGTGACATCAGTTGACGCCCTGAGCCGCCCCTGCCCGTTAGAAAGATCCCCTACACCTGCTCCGGCGATATGCTTCCGAGCAATACCCAAGTCCAGTGAGCCATTAAATAAATATTTCATTAAAATTTGGTTTCTACATTTTTTTCTGACCACTCATGCTAGAAAGCGGAAACACGGAAAAAGAGTAAATTTCACGAAATGTAATAGAAAGTTGAAAAAAATGTCATTTCACGGAATACAGCTTGATTACGAAACATAATTCCAGCCTTGCCTGCCCTTATCGTATCGCCACATACTCTCCACATGTTCCTTACCTGTCCATTTCAAACTCATGTCCCCATAGAAATTGTGTGTGTGATCTCAAATGTTAAGTTCCCTTTGGGACACCCAACAACACACCTTTTGGGAAAACATGGCTGTAAAGGCTATGTTACTGTGTTTGCATTTCGTTTCTGAGTTACGTGCGTCGTTTCTGAGTTACGCACAATTATAATGTGTGTTGCAGAAAACGGTTTTGTATTTCGAGAAATTCTATTTTATTTGGATTTAATCAGCACAGCACTGAAAAGTAACTACCTAATCAGCAGTAGCACACTTACAAGGTTTGTGTCTATAATTTCTTGTATGTTGTCAAAAAAAGGTCATTTATCTTCAACGCATTATACACACAGAGGATAAAGCGTTAAACTTGTTAAACAGAAGGGTAATGCCCAGCAACGTGTGCATAAGAAGTTGGTCTGGGCAGCAATATTAGCTGAAAGACTGCATAACGTAAGCTGCTACCGAGAGCGTAATGTAAGATAAGTACTCACTATGCAGATCTTAAGTGCCGACGGCACGAGAGGAACGTACACTTGGAGATGAGTCATGTACTGTGAACGTACAAGACAGCCGCCAAGAGGCAAAAGAACAACGTAATGTTTTCATTGTACGTCTTGTCTCACGTGTCTCAGTGAAAATCAAACATGAAATGCTTAGATAGGGAATGCGTTTTAAACAGCGAATGGTTACACTGTATCTTTTGTATTGTTTTCTAAATATAACTTCTGCCTCGAGAACTTATGCTACAAAATCACAAATAAATTCGTTTCTGACTTAATCATTTTAATTTGCGCGTACTGTATTGTATTTCCAATTAAGCGTAGACACGGGAGCAGTTTTAATTTTTTTCAAGTGAAGAGGTGGGAGAAAATATTCCACTAAATATTTGGAATGGAACTAAACTCTACTGTCTCTAAAATACTGAAGATGTGCTTAACGGTTAAACATGACTCAGACGATTCTGTTTCCATTAACATTTGCGAGGGATACAGAGATAACAGTTTCAATTAATACAGATAACCCACGATTTGACGGAGCAGCGCCAGGAAGTAGGCATATTGCCGTACTCATGCGTGAGGAGTGTTGCCTTTGTAGTAACTCGTTCCAAACTTTTCCCAAGAGTATCTTTTGAAGTAGAATGATAGAACGTTCTCAACATCAATAATACAAAAAGTTTTATTTAATACAATTTATTAAAAAACGTGTCAAAATTAAAACTAGTTTCGGTGATATTTCTGCGTGATCAGTGGCAGTGCAACAAACTTGAAAAAGACGAGGAAATTTTTCCGAAACATCTTTTTTGTCACTATGTTTGATGTCTATGTTTATAAAACAAACTCTTTTTATTGTTTTGGTTAATAACCGTTATTTGCTTGTCATCAATATGAATCACCACAAAATCTTAGCTGAAACTTCAAAGAGTTTGTTTTGTTACAATTTAAAGCTTATGCCTTAAAATGTTATATTATATAATAGTTTCAGTCATTTTTTTCCATACTGATTGTTTTTTAAAGATCTTGCATACATTAACCTTTCCTTACCAATAAATATTTTTTTTTACTTATTCATTCTAGATTGTAATTGTACTACAACGTGGATCGTCATACGAGGGAACTATGAAACCAGTGAATGATGCTAACTATTCTCTTACAAGAGGGAAATCTATGAGATAATTATGAAAGAGAACTATGGGAGGGAAATATGAAAGGACAAACCAAGTCAAGTTAAAATCTACTTAATTAGTAATTAGGTAAATCTGAATCAATAAAATGAGTTAAAAATAAAATTATATGCGCCACGGGCGTTTAATGGTTCTAATAATTTCTGGCGGCAAATATCCCTCGAGCCAAACGCCTTTTCGGCGACATTTTGTCGCAGTTCAATCATTAGAACTCTTTTAACATTTAGTAAGTAAATAACATGTAATAACATATATCATTTGGTGCGTTAACACGCGTAGATTATTATTCTAAAATATAAACTTATATATAACAATCTTTGACCCCGTATTACTGCAGAATTAAATTACACAACATTTCAAAAACATTCATGTTTTTAAATTAAATATAAATGAAAAAAAACTGAAAGTAACAAATTATTATTAACGCTTTCCAATTAACGCTGTTTTAAAAATTCACCAAAATCCGAACTGAAATTTTTTATTTCCTTACCTTATAGTGTACTTCGTAAGAAGGGTTTAGTTATGTAATCGTGCGCTGGAATACGAAGAGTTTTCGGCACAAAAACTCGTATTTTCGAAATAACAGCCAGTGTGGAGGTTAAGAGTGACTCACCTTGATCTTCTCCTTATACTCGGCCACCACCGCATCGATATCCGTGGAGCTGTCCCTCTCGTCCTCCTCCTCGTCCTCGTCGTCGTCCTCCGACTCGTCGGATTCGTCCTCGTCGTCGTCGTCCTCGTCGGAGGGCAGGGAGCCGGCGAGCGAGAGCGCGGAGGAAGCGGCGGCGGCGGCGGCGGCGGTGGGGTCCGCCGCCCCCGCAGCGCCCTGGGCGGCCGCGCCCGCCAGCAGGGCCTC